AAAAATTAATTTTAAAATAATGTATAGCTACTGTACTTATTGAGTATTAAAATGGAAGAAGAGCAAGTGAAAGAAACGATGATAAGATGGGCTAAAAACTTTGGTTATTTAATAGAATTAGACAAATGGAAGAAATTGTGGGATAGAAACTGTAAATTAACAATGTCGATAAGGAAAATCTATGCAAAATGTTTTATAGATGGCATTTACCACCAGCGAGGTTAGCTAAGACGTTTGAAAACTTATCAGTTAAATGTTGGAAGTGTAATCAGACACCAGGTTCATATTATCATATGTGGTGGACATGCCCAAAGGCAAAAAAAAAAATACTGGGCTAAAATACACACTCGGCCGGTGGGCAGAGTCGCCCACAGGTTTTACTACAGGTTTTATAGAACTGGTCAAACCAGGGACAATTCACCATTGACCGGTTCCGTGGGCGTGGCTTGGTGGGCATGGTGTGGCTTGGTGGGCGTGGAAGGATACTGCAAAATCCCCATTCCCACCCCACTCCTGAGGGAAGGATATTGCAAAATCCCCATTCCCACCCCACTCCTGAGGGAAGGATGCTGCAAAATCCCCATTCCCACCCCACTCCTGAGGGAAGGATACTGCAAAATCCCCATTCCCATCCCACTCCTGGGGGAAGGATACTGCAAAATCCCCATTCCCATCCCACTCCTGAGGGAAGGAGACTGCAAAATCCCCATTCCCACCCCACTCCTGGGGGAAGGATACTGCAAAATCTCCATTCCCACCCCACTCCTGAGGGAAGGACTGCAAAATTTCCATTCCCTTCCCACTTCTGAGGGAAGGAGACTGCAAAATCCCCATTCCCACCCCACTCCTGGGGGAAGAATACTGCAAAATCTCCATTCCCACCCCACTCCTGGGGGAAGCATACTGCAAAATCTCCCTTCCCACCCCACTCCTGAGGGAAGGATACTGCAAAATCCCCATTCCCATCCCACTCCTGGGGAAGGATACTGCAAAATCCCCATTCCCATCCCACTCCTGAGGGAAGGAGACTGCAAAATCCCATTCCCACCCCACTCCTGGGGGAAGGATACTGCAAAATCTCCATTCCCACCCACTCTTGAGGGAAGGATACTGCAAAATCTCCATTCCCACCCCACTCCTGAGGGAAGGATACTGCAAAATCCCCATTCCCATCCCACTCTGAGGGAAGGAGACTGCAAAATCTCCATTCCCACCCCACTCCTGGGGGAAGGATACTGCAAAATCCCCATTCCCATCCCACTCCTGAGGGAAGAATACTGCAAAATCTCCATTCCCTTCCCACTCCTGGGGGAAGAATACTGCAAAATCCATTCCCACCCCACTCCTGAGGGAAGGATACTGCAAAATCTCCATTCCCCCCACTCCTGGGGGAAGGATACTGCAAAATCCCCATTCCCATCCCACTCCTGAGGGAAGGAGACTGCAAAATCTCCATTCCCATCCCACTCCTGGGGAAGGATACTGCAAAATCCCCATTCCCATCCACTCCTGAGGGAAGGATACTGCAAAATTCCATTCCCACCCCACTCCTGGGGGAAGAATACTGCAAAATCCCCATTCCCACCCCACTCCTGGGGGAAGCATACTGCAAAATCTCCCTTCCCACCCCACTCCTGAGGGAAGAATACTGCAAAATCTCCATTCCCACCCACTCCTGAGGGAAGGATACTGCAAAATCCCCATTCCCATCCCACTCCTGGGGGAAGCATATTGCAAAATCTCCATTCCCACCCCACTCCTGAGGGAAGGATACTGCAAAATCCCATTCCCATCCCATTCCTGAGGGAAGGATATGCAAAATCCCATTCCCACCCCACTCCTGGGGGAAGGATACTGCAAAATCTCCATTCCCACCCCCACTCCTGGGGGAAGGATATTGCAAAATCTCCATTCCCACCCACTCCTGAGGGAAGGATACTGCAAAATCTCCATTCCCACCCCACTCCTGAGGGAAGGAGACTGCAAAATCCCATTCCCTTCCCACTTCTGAGGGAAGGAGACTGCAAAATCTCCATTCCCTCCCCACTCCTGGGAGACCGATACTGCAAAATCCCCATTCCCACCCAACTCTGGGACCAGCCAGAGGTGGCATTTGACGGTTCTCCGAACTAACTCAAAATTTCCGCTACCGGTTCTCCAGAACCTGTCAGAACCTGCCGGATTTCACCCCTTAATCCAGATCACGGTTCTTTCAAAGGTGCTATTTTTCAGGAGGCAACTGGACTTCGTTTTTTTTTTTCTTTTGAAGATGTTTTGCTTCTTATCCAAGAAGCTTTTTCAGCACTGACTGGATGGTGGGGAATGGAAGAGTTGAAGAAGCTTCTTGGATGAGAAGTGAAACATCTTCAAAAGAAAAAAACAACATTCAGTTGCCTGTTGAAAAAAAGCACCTTTGGGATGTTGTTGTAACTTCGAAGGGTCACTAAACAAACACAACAGTTTGTTGTAAGTCGAGGACTATCTGTGTTTAGGTAGTCCTCGACTTACAGCAATTCGTTTAGTGACCGTTCAGTTGCAACAGCCCTGAAAAACAGTCATCATTTTTCACAGTCATGACCATTGCAGCATCCCGTGGTCAAAATTGAGACACTTGGCAACTGACTCATATTTATGACGGTTGCGGTGTCCCCGGGGGGGTGTGTGTCACGTGATCCCATTTTGCGACCTTCCGACAAGCCAAGTCAATGGGAAAACCAGATTCGCTTAACAACGGAGGCCGGAAAGGTCGTAAAATAGGTCAAGTCTCACTTAACAACGGAATGGTTGGGCTCAGTTGTGGCCATAAGTCATTGACCTGTAGGGATGCAGCTGTATGGAAAAGTTGCTTGTATTAAATCACATGGTTCGAGGAGATGCAGAAACAGAACAATAGATGTGTGGAGGAGGAAGAGGAGGATTTAGCAAAGCAATTGATATTTTTTTTAAAAAAAAATAAAAATAAAATGCAATTTAAGGGGCGTTACTTTGTATTTAGTAATACAAAATTGTATTACTAAAATATTTTGTATTTTCAAGGAAATACAATCCAGAGAGAAACTTCCATCCAGCTCGAAGCGTTTCTCCATCATCTTAGACATCTGATGGTTGTGTTGGTAGTCCCCGACTTACGACCGCAATGGAGCCCCACATGTCTGCTAAGCGAGACATACGTTAAGTGAGCTCTGCCCCGTTTTATGACCTTTCTTGACACAGTCGTTAACTGAATCCCTGCCATTGTGAAGTTAGTAACGTGGTCGTTGAGTGAATCCTGCTTCCCCATGGACTTTTGCTTGTCATAAGGGGGATCACGTGACCCTTCCCCGGGGACGATGCGACCGTCGTAGATACTAGTCGGTTTGCCAAGCGTCTGACGTTTGATCACAGGATTGTGGGGGGGACGCTATAAGGGTCGTAAGTGTGAAAAACGGTCGCAAGTCCCTTTTTTCCAGTGCCGTTGTAACTTTGAACTTTGAACCCAAATGAATCATTGTTCAGTGGAGGATTACCTCAGGTAGTCCTTGACTTACAACACTTTGTTTAGTGACTGTTCGAAATTACGAACACTTACGACCATCTCCCGGGGGTCACGTGATCAGTAAAACACAAGTCAGTTGCCGAGCGTCTGAAATTTTGATCGTGTGACTCTGGGCATGTTGCGATGGTCGTAAGTGTGGAAAAACGGTCGTAAGTCCCTTTTTTTCTAGGCCGTTGTCCCTTCCAAACGGTCACTAAACGAATTGTTGTAAGCCGAGGGTATAGGCAACTTGTACATCCCAGCGAGACCCCTCCCATCAAAACACGCCCCGTCGAATGACTTTCCCTGCTGGAAAGTTGTGCGCATTGCAGGCTCGAAGGTGTGAATGGGACACGCTGCGTGTTTCGTGGAACCCGTGGTTCGCTTTTCACAACCCTCGGCTGCCTGCTGAGGTGTGTAACCATCCAGGCACAATTCCATTTTTGTTTTGTTTCCCCCCACCCCCTCCCGGTCGGGTGTGAAACGGCCCTCCGAATACGGAACGGCGGTAGGTGTGGAAACAGCTGCTGCCGGGGAGTGTGAGAGCGTGGGAAGCCACGCGCTGGGTGTTTGCATGCCACGTGGACCTTGGTGGTGGATTGTTGTGCGCCGGAGAGTCGTGGTTTGTGACAGAGGGTGATGTGTCATGCTGAGAGCCAGGGTGTGTATGTGTGTGTGTGTGTGTGTGTGGGATCCTGGATGTGATATGTGCCACCATGAAAAGTGTGTGCAAGTCGCTGGCTGAAAATGAGCAGCCTTCGGAGAGAGGGAGGAGAAGAAAGTGCTGTCGGTTGCAGCTGGAGGAATTGTGTTTCTCGCACACAGGTGCGCTGAACCCAAAGCAGCCAGGCAGGAAGTGCTGGCCCGAGTTTTGTGCATAGTTGTGTGCCGATGATGGCTAGGAGATGTGCGGGACCTTGGACGCGAAGTGAAAGCCTCGAAAAGCCATCCTAAATTGGCTTCTATTGACTTCTTGACTTCCTGAGATCTCCTGGTGGTCTCCTCTCCAAAAAAAAAAACAACCAACAACAACAAACAAACCACCCAGGCTGGAAAGGGGAGGGGGGTGGCTTGAGACCTCAGTGAGGGCCTTTGGGGTGCAAACTCCTGGCTGGGCAGCAGGAGAAGGAGGGCAGGAATCGGAGTGACATCCAGGTAAGGTTCAAAGTCACTTTTGCAGTGGATGGGTGGGCTTGCCTCTTGTTTCTGCATTCCTTGCTGCCTTTGGGGGGGGTGGGGAGAGGGAAGGGAGGGCCACGTACGCCGTGAGCACCAGAGGGAGGGGGGCGTGTGAGGCTGACTGTGGTTGTGATGTTTCCTTCAGCAATGTGTCGGTGATGCTTGTTTTCTCTTCTCCTCTTGTCGTCCCCTTTCTCTCTCTCTCTCTCTGTCCCTGTGTGTGTGCACGTCTCTTTCTTTCTTTCTCTCTCTCTGTATCTCTCTCTCCCCCTTTGCACTCGCTTCCCCCTCCTCCCTCCTTTCACAGACCCTCCTCCTCCTCCTCCTCCATCGCCACCTCCTCCTCCTCCTCCTCTTCTTCCTCCTTCTCTCCATCTCAGCTTGGCGCCTGGTCCTGGAAAGGCTGCCGAACCGTCCTCGTCGATCCTTTCCGTACCAAATGCTTCTGTGACCGGATCTCTACCTTCGCCATCTTAGCCCAGATTGCTGCTGACATGGTAAGTCCCTGCCAAAGGAGCATCTCCGCTGCCTGCCAGCCAGCCAGCCAGCCAGCCAGCCGGCCAGAGCGGGAGACAAAACCCTTGGCTTCTGCCCAAAAGGTGGAGGAGGAAAGAAAGAAAGGAAGGAAGGGAAGAAGGGAGGGAGGGGAGGGAGGGAGGGGAAAAAAAAGAAATCCACAGTCCAGCCTGTGACATTTCCAGCTTGCTCGGTGCACGCCTGCGTGTGGCAGAGTTGGGGTGTGTGTGTGTGTCCTGAGTGAGTGTGTGTCTCTCTCTCAGTGGGTGCATCGCAAAGATTAGCGCGTCTGAGCGACCGTGACTACATGCATGCCCAGCTAGAGGAAAGCAACGTCTCTCTAGCCTTTTGCACATCTCCCAGCTGTGCATCGGCGTTGCACAATCTTGCACATCGCGAGGTGCGTTATCTAGCAGAGACCAACCCCCCTTTTCCTTTGCTCTCTTTGAGAACCGGTGACCTGAATAAATCGCCGGGGATCGTAACGGCATTAAAATGACACCCTCTTGTGCCTTTTGACCCCCCCTTTTTTCTCAGTAAAACTGGGAGCTCCTTGGAGATGGGGCGAGAGGGGGGGGCTGGCTTTGCTTGTGTGGGGGGGGCAGGGGGAAGGCTTGCAAGTGAGTCAGCCGGTGCCGAAATGCTCGGAGGGGCTCTGGGTATCCAGGCCTCTGTTTGAGCTTTGCAGCAGCGAAGGATGGGAGGTGATGGCCTCCTTGGTCCTTTCGAAAGCAGCGCTGGCAGCTTAACTCCTTTTTTTCCACCGGGTTGGCCGGTGTCCAGTTTCAACTTCCAGATTTGGCTCCGGGTGTCCGAAAGACTTTTTGGTGGTCTCTAAAAAGGTGGTGGCTTTGTCTCGAAGTTCTTCATGCCTTCATCATCCTTCCCCAGGGCTGGGGGTGAAAGAAAAGGTGGAAGCTTTGGACTGGCTCCAAAAATGCCCCACAGAGGTTTGGATGAAGGAGTGGATTTGGATGTGGGCTTTGGCCCAGATGTGTCCTTCCAGGGATGGTGGGACGCTGGCTAGAAAGTTGGGGCAGAAGAAACGGAACGGATCAAATTGGCTCCGTCCAGATCAGAAGTTTGGATGGAAGAAATGTAGATGTGGGATTTATTTGATTTTTTTGGCTTTTGTGTGTGTTTGTTTTTTTTTCAAGGTTAGCTTTGTTTCTGATTTAGCAAACTGGTGTTCTAGGTCAAGTTGAAATTTGCCCTTCTCCATCCCATCCCTTGGGCGGCTCTCAGCTTTCCATCCTTCTGGGGTTGAGCTCCTGGAAGTTCTTCTGAGGTTTTCTCCTCCCTGACCAGGAAGGAAGGGTAAAGAGAAGATTGTGGGGATGGGCGAGAGGAGGTTTCCTGGTAAAAGGCAGGTTTTCCGAGATAGGTTTATTATTAGAAACACTAATGTATTTGGTCCACTAGTTGCCATGGAAACATCTGCACTGAAGTGGCTTTCAAAGTACAAGGTTGTCGAAGCTGAAGCCTCTGGAATTGGGGCAGGAGAAGATCCGGAAGGATGGTGGGCAGGACGGGGTCCTTCCCCCAAAGTGGGAACTGTCACAACATCCAAACCACCAAGTTGCTTCCTTGTCCCATTTCTTGGAGATTTACAGATTTAAAAAGTTGGAAGGAACTTTGTAGGTCATCTAGTCCAACCCTCCGCCCAAGCAGGAGACCCTACACCATTTCTGACAGATGCCAGTCCAGTCTCTTCTTGAAAGCCTCCAGTGATGAAGCTCCCACAACTTCCGAAGGCAACTTCTGTCCCATGGGTTGATTGTTCTCACTGTCAGGAAATTTCTCCTTATTTCTAGATTGAATCTCTCCTTGATCAGTTTCCATCCATTCTTCCTTGTCTGGCCTTCAGGTGCTTTGGAGAATAGCTTGACCCCCTCCTCTCTGTGGCAGCCCCTCAAATATTGGAAGACTTGCTATCCTGACTCCCCTGGTCCTTCTCTTCACTAGACCAGCCATGCCCAGTTCCTGCAACCGTTCATCGTATGTTTTAGCCTCCAGTCCCCTAATCATCCTGGTTGCTCTTCTCTGCACTTTTTCTAGAGTCTCAACATCTTTTTTCTAGTGTGGTGACCAAAACTGGATGTAGTACTCTAGGTGTGGTCTTACTAAGGCTTTATAGAGTGATATTAATACCTCACTTGATCTTGATTGTATCCCTCTGGAGGGGAAGGAGGGAGGGAGGTGACCCTTGGTTAGTCATGACCCAAGTGATCTCAAAGCTGAACCAACTCAGCAATAACCAAATATAAATAAATCAATGTTCTTTCCACCCTTCGCTCTTCATGTCTTCCCCATGTTGACGTCCTCCAAGAAGTCAGAACTTTTTGTAGGCCTCCGCACTTCTACAGGGCACCTTAGCTGAAGGGAGGACAATTTAAGCTTCAGCTCCCGCCTCCTCAATCTTATTTCTTCCTCTCTTTTTCGTTTTGGTTCATCTAAAACCTGGTTTATTGTTGCAGGAATAAGCCTTGACCAGTCTATGGCTTAGATTGTACCTCTGTTCTTTGCGTTGAGAAGTTTATTTCTCTGTCTCTTTTGTTGGGTTGGGTTGCCTGAACTGAGATAAAGTCAACTTTGTCTTGACTTGAGAACTGTCAACTTCTCTTAACAAGGATTTGTTGCAATGAACCAAGGTTCGGTTTGAAGCTGGTTTGTTACAGGTCATTTAAAGTTTACCTTTGTTAGGTCTCCTTCAAGTCAGGTTTGACTATAGCAGGTTTGGTTAAAAAAGTTTATGGGCAGAATAACATAAGGGACCTTGGAGGTCTTCTAATCCAAGCAGGAGACCCTCTCCCATTCTAGACAAGTGGCTGTCCGGTCTCTTCTTAAAAACCTCCAGTGAGAATTGACCTTACCATTATAAGTGCGATCTTGACTTTTTTCACCATAACTTGCAAGCACTCCAACTTCAGCTGATTCCAAATTTTTGGAAATTGTATCAAAAAGGTCTTCAAGGAAGCGGCTGTCGGAACTTCGGAACTAGGTCTTAAGTTGAGGACTACCTGTATCGTGAAGTGTTGATACCAATTTGTAAATCCTTATTATGTTCACACTTCGAATCCTGCATCTAGTTTTGGTCGCCACGATGTAAAAAAAGATGTGGAGACTCTAGAAAGAGTGCAGAGAAGAGCAACCAAGATGATGAGGGGACTGGAGGCTGAAACATATGAAGAACGGTTGCAGGAATTGGGTATGTCTAGTTTAATGAAAAGAAGGACTGGGGGAGACATGATAGCAGTGTGCCAATATCTCAGGAGTTGCCACAAAGAAGAGGGAGTCAAACTATTCTCCAAAGCACCTGAGGGCAGGACAAAAAACAATGGATAGAAATTAATCAAGCAGTGAAGCAACTAAGCAGAAAATTCCTGCCAGTGAGGACTATTAACCAACTTGCCTCCAGAAGTTGTGAATGCTCCAACACTGGGGGTTTTTTAAGAAGAGATTGGACAACCATTTGTCTGATATGGGATAGGGCTGTGATGGTGAACCTATGGCATGGGTGCCACAGGTGGCATGTAGAGTCATATCAGTGGGCACATGAGCTCAGCCGGCCAGCCAATTTTTGGGCCTTCTGGGCCCACCAGAAGTAGGGAAACAGGCTGTTTCCGATCTCCAGAGAGCCTTTGGGGCAGTGGGGAAGGCCGTTTTCGCCCTCCCCAGGCTCCTGGAAAGGCTCTAGAGCCTGGGGAGAATAAAAAATGAGCCTTTCAGTCCCACCAGAAGTCAGCAAATTTCCAGCCTCTGGAGGGCTTCCAGGGGGTTGGCTCCTAGAAAAGTCCTGGAGTCTGGGGACGGCGAAAAATGGGCCTACCAGGCCCACTGTGCCATTGCGTGCCAAAAGCAGGGAGAGTGCAGGTGGGTCACGCACACATGCATGGGGGGCGGGGGGCATAGAATTATGGGTGTGGGCACGCGCATGCATGATCCCCCCCGCTCCCCCCACTTTTGGCACGCGATGGCAAAAAGGTTAGCCGTCACTGGGATGGGATCTCCTGCTTGAGTGGGGAATCAGACTAGAAGACCTCCAAGGTCTCATCCAGCCCTGCTATCCTGTTGTTATTATTATTCTGTAATTATTAACAACCTCATTTGTACTTTTAATACTTTAGAAAATGACTTTACATTGTGTCTGTGTTCCCACATCCCCAAGGAGGCAGTTGTATGTTCTGCCCGGTTCCGCCGAGCCGATAGCAGTGACAATATGATGTCACTGAACCGGTTCTGCTTCCCCACCCCTCCCGTGTTATTCTTAACTTTTATTTGGCCCCACCCCCAATCTATTCACTGCCTCCTGAGTCCCAGCTGATCGGCTAGAATGAAAAAAATTGTTTAAACTTTTGCTGCGGGCTTCAAAGGGCCGCCCTACAGCTGATCAATGTTAAAAGGCAGTGTGGTGGTAGACCGGTGCCTCCAAAAACAAATGGGTAGACCAGTGCCTCCAAAAACAAATGAGTAGATCGGTGCCTCCAAAAACAAATGAGTAGATCAGTGCCTCCAAAAACGAATGAATAGACCGGTGCCTCCAAAAACAAATGAGTAGACTGGTGCCTCCAAAAACAAATGAGTAGATCGGTGCCTCCAAAAAGAAATGGATAGACCGGTGCCTCCAAAAACAAATGAGTAGATCGGTGCCTCCAAAAACAAATGGATAGACCGGTGCCTCCCAAAACAAATGAGTAGATCGGTGCCTCCCAAAACAAATGAGTAGACCGGTGCCTCCAAAAACAAATGGATAGACCGGTGCCTCCAAAAACGAATGAGTAGATCGGTGCCTCCAAAAACAAATGAGTAGATCGGTGCCTCCAAAAACAAATGGATAGACCGGTGCCTCCAAAAACGAATGAGTAGATCGGTGCCTCCAAAAACAAATGAGTAGATCGGTGCCTCCAAAAACAAATGGATAGACCGGTGCCTCCAAAAACAAATGAGTAGATCGGTGCCTCCAAAAACAAATGAGTAGATC